GGGACTTTAATTGACACCATAAAGGACCATGATGCAATGTCTGCTCTGAGAGATGGTGCCTCTAAAAGCCCACCACATGTACTCTTAGCAGTGATGAATGAACCCTTTTTGTCACTGAGGGACAAGACTAAAAATATCCCCCATACACTCCAGCCATGAGAAAACCAAATGATATGGACACCTTTTCCTCTCTTTCCCCCCTCATTTCTGTTTGTCTTTAGCCTTGGCCCATCCAGCCCATAGTTAAAGCCACCAGTCCAGCTGAAAATATGGATTGGAAATGAGATGAACAACTCTCCCCTAAATATAGGGGGCCAAATTCTCTGCTAAACTCCATTTGGATCAACGGTGCTGACTCCACTGCAACAGAGAATTTAGCTCAGTGGCTTCTGTTGTGGTGCTTTAATATCCCAATGCACAGAGGTGAAATGTGGATACTGCAGGCAACACTGGATGAGACAGGAGTTGTTTAGTGATACTTCACACGTTGAACTGGGAACTCTTGTGTTTGCGGCAGGATGGCACCTGCTCTCTTGATTTTTCTCAACCACAGGCTGCTTTAGAGCCTCAGAGAAAACTCAGTCGCAAAGAGGAGTCATACACTCCTCCTGCCACAGGGTGTCAGAGTTGGACAGAATTGGGCTAGGCAGCTCAGGAGTCAGGGAGTTGAGTTTCATTTCAAAGGAAAGGGATATTGTCACATTGTCACCTTGTGTTAGGGCCTCCGTGTTGTCAGGTCATGCTGCAGGTAGGGGGTTTTCCACAATCCAGGATGTTTTGTTTTTGCCTCTGGCACAGGAGAGAGCAGCGAACATCTGGAGCATTCAGCAATACTCAGGACGGGTGGGAACCAAAGGATTTAATGAAGCAATCTGTGTACATAGGCCTTGCTTCTGAGCATGCTAATGCTCTGGACAGCTTGTCCTGCCTTGAAGGAAAGGCTGCTTCCTTCAGAAATAACAGCTGAGCAGCTAATATTCCAAGGCATAGATCCAATCTGGCAAAAGAGTGATAACTCACATCTGTCTCTCAGATGAGATATAAAACCAAGGCTCTGACATTGTGAAAGTTAAAAAGCCCAGGAACCATTTAATGGGGGCATCAACCCCAATTCTGTCTTGGGGAACATGTCCATGTGGACATCCCCATGTCATTTCAATCAGAGATCGAATCATAGAATCATAGAACTGGAAGGGACCTTGAGAGATCATCTAGTCCAGTCCCCTGCACTCAAGGCAGGACTAAGTATTATCTAGACCAGTGCTACTCAAAGTGGTGGTCCGCGGACCGGCCCTCGGCTGCCGGTCTGCGCGCATATTGGAAAAAAAATTGCCGGTCCCCCACATCAGATAGCTTGAGAAGCACTGATCTAGACCATCCCTGACAGGTGTTTGTCCAACCTGCTCTTAAAAATCCCCAGTGATGGAGATTCCACAGCCTCCCTCAGCAATGTATTCCAGTGCTTAACCACTCTGATGGCTAGGAAGTTTTTCCTAACGTCCAAATTCTTCACTCCCCCTCCTGAAACCTGTTGCATAGTGCTTCTGGCAAATCATCGCAGTTGGAAACACTGCCAGTGGCATTGCATTGAAAATAATGGAGTTAGTCAGCTGCTGCATTCCACCCCAGAGGGTCCTGCACTTAAGAGCTTAGTGAGTGATCCCTACATATGCAGCATGTACATTACTTTGGGATCCTTCCAAATGAAAGGTGCTCTATAAATATTGCAATTAATAGGCTTGCAAAGGGTGCAAACGACCCCTTTCACTTCTTTCCTGGGTCTTCATAAAACTCAGCCTCTACAGTCAGGATTTAATGTGCCAAGTATCCAGTGAGGGGGCACAGGCCCCAGACCCCTGTGCCAGTCACCATTGGTGTCATTCAGCTGGCCCCAGGCCCCCGTGCCAGCCACCACACATGTCACTCGGCTGGCCCCAGACCCCTGTGCCAGTCACCACTCATGCCAATTATCCCCATGAACCGCTGCTATATGTTGTATCTCATTCCCACCTCTTTTGTCTGTTCATGTGTCTCTTCCCACTGTAAGGTTGGTGGGCAAGGGCCTCAGCAGCAAATGTGGAAGTGGGCGGGACCTGCACACAAGCTGCAGGGGATTGAATTGCTACGACAGCTCTTCTGATTGAGCCTAGGACTAACTCGAGCTCATCTTCTCCCTCTCCTGGTGAGGTCAGCATGGCCTCGTCTCTCCGGATGGGAACCAAAGAGCTGTGTGAAGGCAGCTGTGAGGCTGCACAGCAGAATTACAGATAGCCAGGAACTACAAAAGCCCTAAGCCAGCAGCACCAGGAGCTCACCCATATTGCACATGTTCTGTGCATTCTGCAGCAGCAAGAGTAGTCAGCAGGAATAGAAAATAGCATATGTGAAACACCTGCATATTGGGAGCTTGCATTTTCCATCTCTGGCATCTCATCATGCTGCTCTACATTACACCAGAGCAGATGGCCAGTCCCAAATATGCAAAAAGTGAAGAGTCAGCCCCCCCCAAATCGTAAAACTGGCTTAAAAAATCACAAGATTTCTTAAATAAAAACTTAACTTTTTGGTTCTTTTTCTTTGCCTTCTGGCTTCTGAGTCTTCAGAGTGCATTCAGGTCACATTTTTAAACTTTTCTCCACAAGCAGAGCTTTTTAAATGGAAGCTGAGATTCTCCTACCATCACATGACTCCAGCTGCTGGGGTCTGAAGCAAAACACTAGGTATCACGAGACTTGAGATCAAATCATCACAGCTGGCAACATTGCCAGTGGTACTGCATTGAAAGTAATGGAGTTATGTCAGCATAAACCTGAAGCACTGGAGAATCAGATGCCTTCATTGTGTGTGATTTTAACTCTGTAACCTAATGCTGCATAAATGCTGGCTTGATTTATTAGGTTTTTTGTTTCTTTAAAGAAGAAAAATATGGAGCTCCCAGTCTTGCGGCACATATGGACTCCCATCTCTATAGCTGTTCAGCTCATGGAGCTAACAAATTCATTGGTTTTATTAGCAGAACTTGTAAATTCTTTAATTTAGAGCTCTACTTGACTTGCAGAACTTACAGGCTTTCTCCGCTTCGCCAACGGAGTTTTTAAATTCTTTGAACCAGCTGGTGTGTTCTTAGGACTCAGTTCTGCTTAGTGCTGAGCACCAGGGGTGTTGAGGTCACTCACTCAGCACCCATATGGTTAACACCTCAATCCTGAATTCAGATCTGGGTTGCAATCACTTGCGCATGCATAGAGCTCTGTGTGGGCACAAACATCTGCTCACTTGTAACTGATTGCAGGAGCAGGGTAGATTTCAGGACATGTTCCACCATTTATGTTAAGGGCTTGTCTACACAGGGAAATAGCTTGGAACAGCTAATGTGGAAAAGTTATCGCTCTTTAAATTCACACCCTTGCTTATTTCGCAATAGCTTCCCCATATAGAAAAGCCCATTGTGTGTGGCTTTCAGACTTTCTTGTCTTTGCTAAATACGAACCAGGGGTTATATTTTCAAAAATCACAAGTGATTTTTTGGGTGCCCAACTGGAGGGAGTTTAAAGAGCCTGATTTTCAGACAGAGCTGGGCACTCATCTTCTGAAAATCAGAATCATTTATAGTACGGAGACTGGACTCCGTAAAATCAAGGCACACCAAGCATGAGTCATTTTAAAATGCAGGCTCCTTTTTTTCCAGACCAAGCCAGACCCTTCGTCCTCAGTGACATTAATGGCAAGTTTCCACTTAGAAACTGAGTGAATTGTTTTTCTTTGCATCTTCCCCCAAGTCCTGAATTTTTGAGTTTGATTTAATTACAAGGAAATGCATAGCATTGTACCAGCAGTAGTTACAGCTCATGTAATCAGATTATGAATTTATCCTAAATACTCAGATCTGTGTCTTAATTGTGAACTAGCACCCTCAATGAACAGACACAGAAGGAAGCCAGTGTTTTCAAACAGAACAATTTGGGATTTACTGGTAGAAACAAGAACTACGGGAAACATGCAACCTACCAAAGTAAGCATGTTCAACTCAGCTCTTTGACAAGTGATTTTGCTTTTTAGTTTGTTTTTGACATTGTTAATTGGAGACTTGGGACCAAAGAAGGCACTGAGAAAAGGGTGATTTTACTGACTGGTGAAGTCCCCCACCCCCTCACCTGTCTGAATAGTGCTAAAGCATTTCTGCCCGGAACATTTGAAGCCCTCTTTACATGAGCTCTCAACTGTAGGAGGGTGTTATGGGGCCGTCCATAAATTATGTAACACATTTTGGGTACTTTACAAGACTCATCCACGCTGTGTAATGCTGAAAAGGGCCCGTCCCCCAGCTCCTGCTCTCAGATGCCTCCACATACCACTAAGGGATGTATCCATCCCCTCTGCTAGCACCCGGACTGAGCACTCTTCCTCGTGCATACACACGTTTTAGTCTACCATCCCTTGCAAACAGTCCTGGACACCTTTCTTTCCCTCCCTCCCGTATATGTTTCATCCTCGCTCTGTCTAGATACCCTGCGAATCACCGCCAACAGCGGCTCTGCCTTCTCCTAATACCCCCCAGACACATCCAAGGCACCTCCCACCCCCCCGATTTCAGTCCTCTCTGCAAACACCTCCACTATAGAGTCATCAAGGTTTTCATCCTTTCCGCCACGTCCTCCAGGACTTTATTCTCTCCTGCAAATTGCTCCACACACACGGGTTAAATACTCCTACGCCTCCGGTCTATAAGCCCCACGGTGCCCCGCACTGGCCCCGTCGGCAGGATCCTGAGCGATCGCTCGGTGCCGCGGCGTGTATCGTTTTTTTGGCCGGACATACGGCATTCTTTCCGGGACGCACGTTCCATTCCATTCACAGAAAACCCCCTTCTTTCAGCCGCCGCTCCTTGACAGGCTGCTGGGGTTTGCTAGGCGGAGCCCCGCGAGCGGCCCTCTGATTGGCTTAGCGCGAAGGAGGGGGCAGGGCCGAAAGCACAAAACTTGCCGCGCCTGGGTGAAAATAGCTCTTAGAATTTAGTCATTTTCACGTTGTGACCATTGTCTTCCTGTGCAGAAGAGAAGAGCGTTTCCCCCGCTGATCATGGCCAGACCCACAGAGAACATGAACAATGCAGGTTAGTGCTGCCTCCTTCTGTATTAACTTTCCCCCTTCTCCTGTGAGTTATTACAAGTATATTTGATCATTGAAATGCAAATGAGTTTCTATTCATTAATGTATTTGAAAACTCTTATTGACCTTTTCTGGCTGTTTTGTTAAAAACCTCGTAGCGCTTTATATGTTTAACCTTGCCTGTCATCCTTGGAAAATCCAATTTCTAAAAAGGGATAATATCGAAGAGGTTGGTGTATCGGTTTGAATGCTATAGTATGAATTAGCTGCATCACTACCTCTGATCTTCTTAGTGGGGAGAAGTAATTGTTCAGTGTGTTGGTATTTTTTAAAAATCTCTCTTCACCCTCGCTTATAGAACTTCTCTCTATTCAATATAATTTGTTGCTCTAGATTAAAATCACAATAAAGCATCATTATAAATGGTGTTAAATAACTGAAAAAAGGTTTTATTGAAAACAATTCATATCACAATAATTATTTCCACATGCTATTTTAAAGAATCCAATATGCGGTGTGTATTTTTGATTATTTGCCCTTAACCTAAAACCTGATCAGAGGAAAAATGCCAGACTTGTTCCTTTATTTTTAAACCAAGTACAGTGAGCTTGCTCTTTCATCTCTTCACTCATACTAAAGAGGGAAAGGTGTTCTCTTAGATATACATTTTGTATGTGTATTTACTTTGTTTGTGTACACCGTCCATGAAAAAGGACAGTATACATCCGATGAAGTGAGCTGTAGCTCACAAAAGCTTATGCTCAAATAAATTGGTTAGTCTCTAAGGTGCCATAAGTACTCCTTTCCCTTTGCCTTAAGTAATCCTTGACATATTTTAAAAATAAAGTTACACAAATAGACTCTTTCCCCAATAATTAACATAAATCATCACACAGCAACTAAAATATAGATCTCTGATCTTTATGATCTTGCAACAGTATCCTCCCAGCATCTCTCAGTCCCAGAAAACAAATGTACTTCAGACCAAATTTCAAAAGAAAAGAAGAAAGAAATAGATGTGTTCCTAAAAGTCCAGGTCACAGGTTTGTGTCATAAAGAGACATTCCTTTTATTGAAATAATAATAATGTGAACAAAAAACCAACTGGCATTAATAATAAAACTCTGCCTCGTTTCAAAAAGCCATCAGTAACCAGCCATCCAAAATGTCACGAATCCTATAGTGCTTTATTATGTTTACAGATAACTGCAACTTGGGTTCAATTAACATTTCTTTTTGTGGGATCATAATAAATAAATAAAACCAACAACCCCAAAGCCCGGCAAGCTTTCCTCCCTTTCTCCAACCCATCATGCTGTTCCACAAAGCTAGTGTGAGTTGTTTAACATTTCTAAAGAGTAAACTTCCATGTGGAACTGTTTTCACCCTTTGGATAGAATTTTGTGGTCTGATCCTCAGCTCATTGCACTGGCTTCAATGGATTAAGCGTTCCAGGATCGTACTGTTGTTATATTTCTTCCTTCTTCTCATGAATGTTAAAGGATGGGTAAAAACAATGGGGAGTCCTTGTGGCACCTTAGAGACTAACAAATTTATTTGGGCACAAGCTTTCGTGAGCTATAACCCACGCTCTTGTGGATTTGTGTCCCTGCATGCAGGGAGCAGTATCCGTACATAGCCACATTTTGATAAAAATCCCCCCTGCCCCAATTTTTTTTCTTGATCGTGTGCTGATAGGCACTGACCATGAGAGGCAGCTCCAGCTGCCAGACTTAAAGGGTACAGAGCAGCGGCTGCAGCATTGAACCTCAAAGCCTGTAGCGCCTCTCTCATGGGCAGGCAAGTCAGCTGTCTCCAGTGTTAACCCTGATTCCTTCCAACGCTGTGGGGGGAAAAAAACCCCATCCTGGAATCACGCTCCTGTAAACTGTTTACTAGCCATTAATTATTCCAAGCAGCACCTTCTCTTCGGCAGCTTTCTCCCCATGAAGCCTATCTGCATTGCGTTTCTGCCCAAAAGAGCAAATGCATGTTGTACAATGGAAGGGAAAAAAGGTAGACTGCTTTACTGAAGATTAGGGAAATATTCTAAGGGTTTTCCCCTCTAAACTGTGGTAAGAACCACAAAACAAGTTATTTATTAGGGACTTTCAGAGAGCCAAGATATGTCGCTCAGAAGGCGCTCTTGCAGCACAATTCTACCTCCTCTTGCCATACTCTGTAACTAAAAACAGTTGCTGGTGGATAGAAGTTGCATTGTGTATGTTTCCTGCCATCTGCAGATACCCTGTGTACCGTTAGCCTCATTCTTGAAATGGCACAAGGATCGGGGCAGTAACCATTATCTCTCACTCATATGCACACACCCGCACATGCCCGGGCACACCCACACAGAAGTCGGGCTTCATCACATTCTCGATTATCTTGTCTGTGCTTGTGTTTGTAAGTGGTTTTAATTATAAGCTGTAAATGCAGCAGGAGAATTTTCTGATCTTTCTGAAAGCTGTTATGCATGGGTGACCGATGGGATCTTCCTCTGAGAGTGGTACTCTCAATAAATAGCCATGAATTTACAAAGATAGAGCTGGATCGCAGCTAAGCTAAATCCAGAGTAACTCAGTGGACTTAAACCTGATTTATACCAGCATAGATGAAATCAGAATCCAGCTTGTGGATCTCCCAGTAGCTCACCAGGATCCATTTCAGTTTTGAGTATATCAGTTCTCATACAGGTCGGAAGGGTTTTTTGATTGTGTGTTTTTTTGTTTTTTTTTAAAGTCTACTGTCAAGAAAACCTCAGTGGAAATGAGCACATAGACAATAGGCTCTTGTATGTGATTATGATTGAACTTGAAGCCAGCAAGGCAAGGAGGTTGATGGGTAAAGGAGCAGGATGGCTTTCCATTTTTAAACTTGCCCTAATCTTCATGAGTATTGCAGGGGGTCTCCAACTCACAGAGGAGAGTGTATTCCATACAAAATCTAATCATAACAAGCTTTTCCTTGCTCAAGTTGGCTTGCATCAAAACCTTTGGGTCTCATAAACACATTCTATTGTGAGTTGAGGAGGGAGTGCATGTGAACAGAAAAAGCTTTCAATAGTCTTTCAGAGATCAGAGCAAATGTTTATATTGTAAACTCTTTGAAGCTAAGATCTTATTTTAAGCTCTCTCTGCAAAGTGCCCAGTGTGTGCTGATGTGATCCCAAGAACATTACATGCTTTCTGGAGATAATTAGCCTCTTCTGGAGGGAAATGGTGAGGCAAGGTAGTTTTGGGGGTCAAGGCATGGAGCTGGGATTTGGGAGATCTGAGTCCTATTCCAGACTCTGCCACAAGCTTCCTGTGGGACCTATGAGAAGTCACTTGGTCTCTCCGTGCCTTAGTTCTCCATATGTAAAATGGGGGTGTCAGTGCTGTCATGGGGGTGCTGTGAGGACAAATCCATTGGGCAATTAGCTACACAGGTTTCCAGCAGTTGAGGATCTGGCCTCTTAATGTTTGTGAGCCAGCCATCTACTATGGTGATGGGCCTATATATAGGTGGCTAGAGAGACCCAGCTGACAGGCCTGTTTCTGCTCACACACCAGCTTCCCAGTGGAGGGACTCCTGACTTACCCCACTCTGAGGGAGAGCAGAATCTGGCTCTGTGTAGTGTAGAGTGGTGGTTTGTAAATGTGCTGAAGACTCTCTTGCGGTCCTGTGGTGCATCAGCTCAGCTCTTCTTTCTGCAAGTTTGTAATGTTTCTTTATTACACTCCTAGGCTACTCTGTAAGTTTCTCAAGGCCAGCTGTGTGGGGGGAAAATGGCAGTGGGTTAGTGTCTTCCCTGCTGTAATTCTCCTGAGGGCAATGGAGTTAAACCAGGGAAGACTTTGGCTCAATGGGTCAAAGTCGGTGATGTGACTGGTTGTGACAATTAGTTTGGCTACAAGCCACAAAGTGCTGATGCACCAGCTGGTGGGATGTCCATTGAAGTCAAAGGAAATAGCTTTTATTTGCTCCCAGCTGCATTTGGCACATTCTTGCTGGTGGAGCTGCAGAAGGGACATGCTCACTCCTCAGGGGGGAAGAAGAACCTTGCACCATCCATCAGCAACCCTGCTGCTCCTTAGCTGGCTAGAATTGCTGGCTCTCTTACAGCCCTTGTTAGCCAGAAAGCTGGTGCCCATAGCAGTTGGGTGGAGTGAGGCTGAAAAAGTTCTGAGGGGGGTGAGGAAGAGTTGTCTGTCCAGTTGCTGAAGCTGGTGGTCTGGGGTCGGCTCAGATGCATCCTGGAGTACATCTGCTGCTCTACCCCAGGCTGGAATGACTGCGCGGCTTTCCCAGCACTCCCTGCTGCATTTCAGATGTTTTTTTTTTCTCCTACAGAATTGCCAAAGCTTACAGTCCCAGCTCATAGCTTCGCAACAAGGAAGTCAAATTATAGAGGAGACTCTGCCAATTGTATTTATATTGCTTGATTTGCACGTAGCTGGAGGGCTGGTCCTGGAAACTCACTCAGCTCCCAAGGAGTAAATACAGGGCTCCTTTAAAATCCTGACAAAGTTTCCTCTACAAATTTACATCCCTTGGTTTTCCCCCTCCCATGCCCATTTAAAAACCACTGGGAGGAATCCAGTGAACTGGCATGATCTGATTCCGATCTCACGTTGGTGGAAACTGGGAGTAACTATTGAATCTGGTGACATTACTCTCGGGTAAGGCAGTAAGTGAGATCAGAATCGGGCCCAGCATCTGTCTCAGATTCTCTGCTGCACAACTGCATCCGTGCTGTTGCTGGCACAGTTTCAATCATTCTGTAGACAGAGCCCTGGTGTTCTCAGCTCACACTCATGAGCACCACTGCAAATGGGTGTCTGCACAGTCATTGGCTGATTAGGACATGTTGGCCAGTCAATCACATGGATAACTGAGAGCAAGGGGTTGATATTCATATCTGACCCACTAGTCCATAATGCTGAGAGCATAACTGGGATTGGCTGCTGGGGTGTACATGGCGGGGAATGCTGGGGGTGGATAAAGGCACGCCCAGGCAGCAGCTCCTCCTGTGTTCCATTTTGTACGTGGCTAAAGGTGACCATCCTACGGGAATGCTCTTCTGTTCTACAGATCACTTCAAAGTTGCTTTTCTAGTCCCTCCCCCTTACTCAGATCCAGGGTCTGACTCTGATCACTCTCACATGGGCTCGACACTGGGGTAACATCACTGACCTCTGTCTCCTAGTCTGTCTGCTCTACTCAGGGCACTGAATTCCCAGTTCTCCCCCAAAATCTGGCCACTGTTGATGCGAGAGCCTTCTCCCATGCAGCTCCCACCACCCAGGACAACTACTGTCTTTTCCCCATGTCATCTGATTTTCAAGCTTCACAGCAAACCTCTTTCCTCCTTTTCCCCATAATTTCCCTCTCCTTCTGATATCCTGATCCCCTTTCCCACCCTGCCCAGAAGTACTCCTGGGTTCTGTGTGTGTGTGTTTGCCTTTGCCTCCGAATGACTCACCGGGCTGATCTATTGACTCTTCAGTGCTGCCAGACGACCTCCATGACCTCCTGAGGGAGTTTGACGAGGTGATCGAAGACTTTGACAAGGGTGAAGTTTGTCAGTATGAGCAGCATCTGGAGGAGCTGAAGAGAAGGACCCTCCCCAGTGTCTATGACAGTGGCATCGATGAGCTAGAAAGTGAGTTTTGGGGGCTGTCGGTGCAGAATAAAAGGAGTCATGGTGTTCACCTGGGGCGGGGGTGTTTCATCACTGGGGAAAATCCCACTGGGAGGGACAAGGGGAACTTGTCTGCCTCTTCCATCCCCACCCAACTGCTTACTATCTTGCTGGAGAGCCCTTGAACGTGGCTGCAGGGCTCCTGCAATTTTACTTCCTCAACAGTCTGTAGCTGCACCTCTGGTTTGTTCAGTGATTAAACTTCCAGGTCATTCCGTCTTTGAGCATCCCCATGTTGGCCACACATTCATGGGTCTCTTCCCTCTAGGGCTTTGTTAAGTAGCATCTGTGCTTACTTTGAGGGGCTGTGGTATCTGTGTGCCTGACAGGTGCATCTTTAAAGTCAAGGGTTTGTCAGCCTCTACATTGTATCCCCCATGCGAGAAGGGATTTAATGGCTTCACTGCTGCATAACATGCCAGGGTCTTGGGCCAAAACCCACCTCTCTGATCTTTCACTGCCCTCATGTGCCTGTGATAATCCCACTGAAGTTCCAGATCACTCTGTTCCACCATCACACCCAGACCACAGAAGATGCCGTTATATTGAATTTGGCCTCTGCTGGGCTGGTAAAAGAGCGTTGTTCCCTTTTGTAGCTGAGATTTGTAGCAAGAGTGATGCAGTTCAGCAACTCAGCTGGCAGAAAGTGGGACCCAGCAGCTAGATTTGGGAATCCATGTTGCACCATGTTGGCCCCTGTCCCCTGCTGGCATCTTTATAATGCCCCTGTGGTTCTTGGAGCTAGATGATGCCTCGGTGCAGTGACTGATCTTGTTCTGTATGCAGGTACCAGCACGTCTCCTGGGAGCAGTTTAAACTCCAGTGAAGAAGATCTCAACACGTCGGCCAGCACTGCTAACTCCAAAGGTAAGACCAGGACACCTCTCCATCAAAAAGTCCTCTTCAAGGGGTACCATGGGGAATCCTATTTAAAGTGTCCTCAGGGTAGAAGTATGCAGGATCTGAGCCCATTTCCTCAGCAATGGCCCTAGAGAAATTGAATGCATTAAAGGTAAGGTGCATTCAGTTCAGTAACTGCAGCGTATCCACGTTTTTATGTGGGAATCCTGGCTAGAGGGGTGTGTTCTGTGAGGAATGGAGAGGAGAGTCGACTCCCTCTGGATTGCAGAACATGCATGATGTTACCGAGCTATGTTTCTGATCCAGGCTGGAATCCAATCTGATGGGTCCATTCAGAGCTCATGGATCCCAGCCCAGAACCTTGTTACTGAAAGGGTCACCCAGCCCTGGCACTGACAGGGCCTAGCAGAGGGTGATCTCAGAAGCGGTGCCTTGCACAGGAACAAGAGCAATACTTGGGTCTGTAGCCCTGATTTTCCTTCTACATCAGAACGCCACTGATTTGCTTGGAGTCACTCCTGACTCACCCCAGTGAATGTGAGAGGAGAAGGGGGCCCTTGCCTCCAAGCTGTCAGTTCCTCCTAATATTCAACCCGAATTTTCCTTCGCTTAAGTTCAGCCCATCAGTCCAGGTGACACCCCTTTGGGCCACTCCAAACCCCAGAAGCATGTTGGCTGGGCTGAACTGGTTGTGCTAATGGGGATACAGGCTGGTGGTTGCACAAGGACCTCTAAGGAGGTTTGTTCTGGGGTGACATCCTGTGTCCCCTGTAGAAATGAGACTGGAATCTGTATGAGGATTCAGAGATTAGGGAGAGTCCCCTACACACACTTCCATGCCACAATAAAGGAACCATGGCTTACATGTCTGATGCTCTCCCAGGCGTCTCCTGGGGACACCACCATCATCCCTCAGGCTCTTCAATTCCTAGTCAGGACTTTGGAAAGGCTATCCCCAGGAAAATCCATCCCACATTTTGCCCTAAGACGAGAGTGTACAGTGCAGGGCCTTGAGAGATTAATAAGTGCTCATGCAGGGCTGATGTGATCAGTAAAGATCACAGTATATGCATCTTACTGTCAAGTCTCAGCGCGTTGGTTTAAGGCATTCCCAAGGACCTGGGCCGTAATGCCAGGCAGAACAATCATTTTTACTCCAGACTGGCCATCAGAAATACCCCACAGCCCAGTTAGATTTCACATTAAGGCTACGAGCTAGGGATGCGATTCCCCGGCTCACGTACACGGGCTCACGCCGGCTCAGTGAGCACTCGTATGAGGATAAAGAGCGGTGTCATTGTGGTTGCCCAGGTCGTGACCGAGGAGGCACGCCTGAGCTGTGCTGAGTGCAGACCGCCTTAAAACAGCGGGTACGTACTTGGCAGGGCTCAGCCACCTCTGCTGCAGCCACCCGTGAATACCGGGCCTCCGCTGTTGCAGCTGCATGGAATGAGCTCCAGTGTGTGTGCACAAGCCGGGGGATCCCACCCCTAGTTCACGGTGTAGACCTAGCCTGAGGCTAGTCTATAAACGACATCCCAGATGTTCCAAATCCTTGTGACAAGATGCCCCAGTGGGTGATGTTATGAAAGCAGTAATAGTAGCATGGCCTGAGCAGCCATGGGCAGAAGACACCGAGGAGAATCCCTTTTGTGACCTGCACTGGGATGGGTGTGGCTTGCCGAGCATCTGACCATGGATCTTTCTCTCTGTTAGCTAAACTCGGGGACACACAGGAGCTGGAGGAGTTCATTGCGGATCTGGATAAAGTGCTAGAGGGTATGTATGGAGCCTTGATCTCTGCCATGTTTTGGTGACTGCTGAAAGCTAGATCCTCCACTGGTGGCCATCAGTGCAGCTCCCCTGAAGTCAATAGAACTACGGCAACGGACCCAGGCTGACGATTCGTCCCTAGGCATGACTGTGTCTGACCACGCCTCTCCCTGTTCTCCACCCGGTGCAGTCCCTTGCAGGAGCTCCGCCTGTCCTGTGGCGGCTGCATCCTGCTCTCCTTTAACGTTAGGAATTGTACCTTGACAGACAGCATGGGAATCTGGCAGGTGTGAATTCTGGCCTGCTGCCTCCAGGGCTGTACAGCCCCTGGGCTGGAAGGTGGTGTCTAGGCTACAGTGTGTCCTCCTGGGTTAGTCTGGCACAAGGCAGCCATGGCGGGGAATGTAATCTAGTGTTTAAGGGTGGGGTTTTCAATGGGAGTTAAGGGCCTGAATCCCCTAGAGCACCACTCAGCTCCCATGGAATCCATAAACCTGGGCTTCTAAGTCCCTCAGGCTTGTTAGAAACACCAGCATTAAACACTAGTGGAATCTGGAGATCTTGGGTGAAATCCTGGCCCCATTGAAGTCCATCGCAAAACTCCCCCTGACCTCAATGGAGCCAGGATTTCACCCTGGGATTCCAGTCTAGTCTTTTCCACCCAGTTGCTGGGGTGACCTTGGGTGAGTCTCTCCTTTCCCCTCTCGCACCACCCTTTCCCATCTGTCAAGGGGGGGGTGATGATACTGTCCAGCCCTGAGGGAGGTGGCTGGGGGGGCCTGACAGTTATTGGTGAAGTGCGGGGCATGCCGCACTAAATTCTACAGTCTCCATCATTCAGGGCTACATTGGCCCAGAGTGTTCAGGGCAGCCCTAGCATGCTGCCGCCCGAGCTCTGCACCCCTGCTGCTTCCTTGCAGCCCCCCTCTAGTCTGAGAGGAGAGGGGAAATGACAGCACTTCCTGATTACATTTGTCTTGCGCTGTGCTGGTGCTGGCAGGAAACCCCCCAGAGAGAGCTGGCCCAGGTTGGATTTCCCCTCACTCAAGCAGCTGGCTGCAATGAAAAAAAATCAAACCAGTGTGGATGTCCAGCATATAGGATCATCTGTGGTGACAGCAGGAGCTCAGGATAGCGGGCTGGGGCTGGGTTGCTATTGGACGAACACTGACCAAGGCCTGTAACACTGGCCTTTACTGAGCAGGGCGAGAGATCTTTCCTGCAACTCTCTCTTTGCCTGCTGCATTGCTCCCTGCTAATGAAACCTAGGGGAGTTTTACATATGCAGGTGCGAGAGGGTTTCTAGCTTCAGTTTTGTCTAAGGGAAATCCTTGCTCTTTTCTGCCATCCATATGCAGGGATACTGACTGCAACCTCTGGCCCACTTCTCTAGAATGAGTAAAAAGCTGTAAATGGAATCCTCTCCCATTCATTATGGCTCACTTGGAAGAGAAGCGGTGATAACAAAACGCTGCTCCCCTCCAGCACCTGGCACCCAGGCATCTCCACGCTCTTTGCAGGATGGCTGGTCTCCATCTTTACAGATGGGGAAACTGAGACACAATTAAGGTCCAAACTTTCTAAAGTCATTTTTTGGTGCCCAGCTTAAGGCAGTTAGGGTCTGACTGTTTTCAGATGTGTTGAGCAGCTCCCCTGGAGTTCCTTTGTTACTCAGCACCCCTGAATGTCCCCCAACAGAAGTCAGAAGTTCAGCTGGTCATTGTTGAAATGTTGGGTGTTAACCCCAAGCAGAGCCAGGAGCCGGATCCAGGAGGCCTGATTCCCAATCTCCTGCTTTAACCACTACACACACAGCCGGGCAAAACAGGGTTTGGGTTTCCTTTGCATTGGCTGAGTTCAATGGCCTAACAATACATTTTCTTCTTCGCCCTGCAGAGATGTGAGATGCTGTCTCTGGCCAGGAGCTCTGAGAAGAGGTTATGGCAGAACTGAGATGTTCCACCCCATCCTTTCATGTTCTGCTCTGGAAGAACAGGGTCTAAAATTCATACCCCATGGGGCAAGGATAATACAGGCACGCTTTCCATCTGCAGAGCAACTGTCCAGCAACAACAGACCTGAAGTGCAAATCCATCATGCCTGAGAATCCTGGCAGGTCCCTCTTCAGACAATCAGCATAAATGGCAAATACTGATTCATCTCAGGGTGGGGGGACCTGCGAGTTGGGATTTATTTAGGTACTGGCCTTGGCATGTTTCCTTCTGCATTTGGTGAGCTACTAACCACAAACTTTCCACTTTCAAGGCAAAATTTCTCCAGTTGTTACCCATAGCACTCCTCCACCCTCCTCTTCCCAATGTATTGTCTCCCCATCTCTGAGGGTAGGGTAGAGTGTTCTGAGGAGACCTCTTTACTCTGAGCAGAATTGCAAGTGCTGGAATTGTAAGCCAAGGTAAGCTACCCCTGGAGTCCAGAGTCCCATCTGTAATGAGAAGGAAAGCAGGGTGAAGCCTCTTTATTTCCCAGCTCCATCAGGGTCCTCTCTATGAGACATTGTACAGTATTTCCTGGGCCTGTGGACAATGGTTTTGCTCTTAATGAACCTCCTGGCTCCTGCAGTACTTTAACACTGCAGGGCTCTTTGGCATCAGTGGTAGCTCTTCTGGCAAATACCACCTGCAGCAATTGAGGGGCATCTCCATTTTAAAGTTAGCTAAATGTCTGCTCATGCTCTAGGCACCTTCCATACGGGTTTCAGATGGGTTAGGCTAGCAATGGATTGCCATTTATCGTAGTTTGAGTAGAGAGAGACCCATACTAACCCTCTGGACCTCCATTAGAGGTATAATGGGACTGTGCAAACCACCAGAGCTGAACATCCCTCACCTTTGGATTTGGGTCACAGCTTTACAGCTGATAACACCAAATTTTGTGTTGATCCATATTGACCAAAGGAGGCTGTTGAATCCTAACAAATGGCCTTTAATAATGATTCCAAGCCAGATCTTCAGCTGCCATAAATTGACGTATCTCTGTTGACGTCCATGGAGCAATGCCAAAGTACCACCAGCTGAGGATCTGTGCAATGAGGTGTCTCTCTTCAGGTTCAGGAAGATAGCTATTGCCTAAATTAGTGGCTTTCAACCTGTGGCCCGTGAACCCTTGGGGGTCCATGAACTATGATTTCCAAAGGGGTCCACATCTCTATTTGAAATTTTTTAGGGGTCTGCAAATGAAGAAAAAGTTGAAAACCACTGGCCTAAATAAACAGATAATGGTTCTTACTTTCTCATAAGTCCCCAGCTGTTTACTGGATGTCTTCAGACCAGACCCTAAGTGCCTCTGTCTTGAATGCTTGTATTCTGTTGTAAATATTGTAAAATAAGGTTGATTCTAAAATTTTTATACAGACATGCATGTATTTTATGAATAAAAGGATTTTGTGGAATTTTTGCTTTGCGTGGATTTGCTCTGTGAATGCTGTCTCCAAGGCTTTGCTTTGCATGGATTTGCTCTGTGAATGCTGTCTCCAAGGCTTTCCCATTCCTGGAGTTTCAGAGCTGTGCACTCAAGTAATCTTGTAGTTATAGGGTTGCACCGAACCCCATGGACAAAGGATCTGTGATGGGAGCTGGGGCTAAGTGATTCTCCCAAAAGGGGTATGTTTGACCCTTGGGTCACCCTGAGAAATATCACAGCATTCAGACAGAAGTAGCCAAGCAACGAGGATGCTTGAAAAAGGCTTCAATGGGCATGGTGGCTCATATGCAATGACTGCGTCCTCTGACCCCTGGAGCCCTTATTACAGCAGAGAGGTGACTCTGTGATAGTTGAGGCTGAGACTTGTTTTTTTATCTACAGTCTCCAAAAACAACATGCTGAGTCAGATGGTCTTGAACATGACTGTGCTTCAGGGGAGTGTCAGCAGTCCAAATCCGAGTCCATTTCACCAAAGGCTTCCTGAGATACAGCCCCCTAAATAATAAATCCAATGATATCCCAATGTTATGGTTCTGATAAAATTTTCTCACATGTGGGGTTCAAACTATGTCTCTGATCCTCCCCAAACTGCTGTTACCTGCTGGGGATTGTTCTCAGCTACTGTCTGGCAAACCACTGCCTCTTTGAGGAAACATTGTTTAAAGAGTTGTTTGTGTTGATGAGCCAGAGGAAGGCACTTGCATGGCCGCAGCAGGACAGGGCGTTGAAGGCAAGTCCAAGTGTTCATGAGCAGCCTGACCTTAGCATGCGATGGCCATTAAACCCAAATGGCACCTATGCTACTGCGAGTCTGAGCATTGCCCTTGTCAGCTTTGTAAAACATGTGTTTGTGCACCTGAGTTGCTCTCTGCATATGTTCTCTAGGACTACTTCAGGAACTTCACTGCTGGTTTACAAGCCAAGAAACTTTCCTAGGGAGACAGGCCACGTGGGGTGGGGTGGAGAATCAAACTGGAGAACAGGAGTGTAAGACTGCAAGGGACAGGATGAGGTGTGAGTGTGACAGGCTGTGCACAGATGAATGTCTGGATGTGTAGGTGAATGTCTGGGTGTATGTTTTTGAGTCAATGTGTCTGAGAAGGGGCGTGTGTGTGGGGGGAGGTGTGAACTCTGTGCCAGGGGACTGGCCAGCTTAAGTCAGGCCTCCTACAGCTGGTGCCTTGGAGTGGGTGGCTCTGATCTCACAACTGAGCTGGTGGGAGTTCTGCAGCTTGGACCAGCTGAGTTTCACAGAGAGCGGAAGCAGGCAGTGCTTGGGCTGAAGCTGTCTGGCTCTGTGTGTGTTTTAAACAAATGTTGTGTACAGAACAGGACACTAACCCTTGACATGATCAGAAGAGATCATCAGTGGAAGGGCAGAATGCCAGCACCAGTTTATAGGGCACCAAACTGATATTATTCATCAAATATTAGGAACATGGGGACTCTGAAGGGAGCTGAACTAGGATTGGGTACTAGAAGAAATGAGGACGAGTGCTGGTACTGAGGGTAGATGGGAAAAGCAAAGAGACTGGGTGTGGGAACAACAGCGTTTTCTCTCAGGGGCTGGGGAAGGTATCTGACCACTTCTCACATTTCAATTCTCTGTTTCAGTCTTTTTCTAGTTCTTCCCTTTTTAACCCCCCACAAATTTAAACCTCACTCAAGAGGATTGAGTCCCCTTCCTTCGCTTCTTGCCACCTTTGTCTTTGTTAAAAGGAGGATGAGCCCAAACCAAAACCTCAGACCCTGAGCTGCCCTAAAGGTGTACATTGGTGGCACTTGCTTCCCTGATGTCAGTGGAGTGTTACTGATTTACATCAGCTGTGGCTCTGGCCCTTGAGCTGGGTGGGAGGTTGAAACTGGATCCAAGCTTGGTATCCATTGGCTCACAGAACAGTGTGTCTCTTGGCAAATCATTATTTATTTGTACTACTGTAGCCTACAGGAGCCCCAGGCATGGCCCAGGGCCCCATGGCATTAGGTGCTGTACAAACACAGAACACACCGATGAGCTCTGCCCCCAAAGCTGACCACCTAAGAGCACAGCTACGCTCCCCCTCAGGCAGGCCAGTTCAGAGCCTGGCTCCACTGAATTGGGCTCACGCTGCAGGGCTAAAAATAGTTGTGTAGCTGCTCCTGCTAAGGGTGGAGCCCCCATTCTGAGACCCAGCCCCATCAGCCGACTTTCAGAGCCTGGGCTGTAGCCTGAGCAGGAATGGCCACACTGCCATTTTTAGACCTGAATCATGAGCCCCACGAGCCAGAGTCAACTGACCTGGGAGCTGCAACTCCCGGCCAGGGGCATTTTTGGGCAGTGTAGATGTACAGTGCCTATTGCCATAGCAACAGATGCCTGGGCAAAGGTGCATCCACCTGCATAAGTACCGTGCAGGGAAAGCTGCAAGGACCCCAGAGCGGTGGGCAGGTAGGGCACTGCTGGCATGGCTCAGTGAGGCTCCCTGGTGTTTGGGGTACTGCACTGGTGATGGGAGATATGGGGCTTTGCCCTGCGGGCCGCTCATTGAGATGTGGGGAGGAGGAGGAGACAGAGAAGCAAGCAGGCCCTGCCTGATCTCCAAGACATTCTGCAGGGCACTGAGGGCATCTCCAGTCCACTGAGGGATGCTCAGTGAGGCTGGGTGGGCAGCTATAGGCCATTTTGGTCACAGCATGGTTTTATAGAACAACTTGTTCAGACTTTGGGCGCTGAATACATCCATATCCACATGGCCAGGACACAGACTGACTCTGAATCATAGAATATCAGGATTGGAAAGGAACCTCAGGAGACTCATCTAGTCCAGCCCCATGCTCAAAGCAGGACCAATCCCCAATTTTTGCCCCAGGTCCCTAAATGGCCCCCTCAAGTATTGAACTCACAACCCTGGGTTTAGCAGGCCAATGCTCAAACCACTGAGCTATCCCTCCCTCTGTGAATAAACATGTTCAAATTAAACTCCTGCTTCTCTTTATTCCATTGCACAACAGCCTGAATGAAAGGGGCTTGTCTCTCATTTAAAATGGCCTACAGTGAGAATCCGGGGGCCTGATTCTTTTCTCACTGCTCCTCCCACTCAGAGTAACCCATTGACTTAAATGGAGATACTCCCAATTGGCAGTGGGATAAACTGGAGAAGAATCAGACCCCCAGCCCTGGAACCCATCTTTCTGCCTATGGATTTTAGTTTGACTGTGCTTGGAAATACAGGTGTATTGGAATCTCCTTCCTTAGATATTTTTAAGGTCAGGCTTAACAAAGCCCTGGCTGGGATGATTTAGTTGGGGATTAGTCCTGCTTTGAGCAGGGGATTAGACTAGATGACCTCCTGTGGTCCCTTTCAACCCTAATATTCTATGATTCTATGATTCAACAATTTCCATCCCACCATCTATTGGTCCCAGATTGCTTTTTTTCTGAATGAGTCCCATCGAGTTGCTTGTGCTTAAGAACGGACCTGGAATTTCCCTCCTTTCTTGCTTGCAGGGGTAGCCTGATTTGCCAGAAGATACCAGGACTTCTATAAACTTGCTGCCTCTGTGTTCTCACAGGGAGCACTGTGCCCTTGATTACGCCTGGGCAATCTCACTGCCTGCCAACGATAACCTCAGTGGCAGCTGGCAGCTCCCTTGCCCTCAGTGCATTTGCACACATGCAACTGATTGGCCCTGTAATGGGAATTTAATCAATGATCCCATTGAGGCTGTACAATGGAGATCAGAGCTCTGCTGAGCTGTACTGCTTCTTCAGGACTTTACAGGGATCAAAGCTATTAACAACAGCCCTTAGTTATTCGTCAGGAGCTAGTGCTCAGAATGCGCCCAGCAGGTCTAATGACCCCTGTGCAAGACTGTGCACCCCTCAAGCTCCAGTTTGAGGGTTTCCACTGCACTTCAGGGATGCGTAGGCTGGTGATGTCCTCTGCATGGAGCTGAGCCGACCCTGGGAGCAGATCTGGTGAGTAAGCAGTCTGACATAGTCACTTGTCAAAGTGTAACCACAAACTATAGCTAAGAGTTTCCCTTGTAAATAAATATCAGCATCACTTTCCCCTCAAACTATTTCTGTCCCCTTCTAGCTATATGTCATGATGCCCTGTTCCTCATGATTTCCTGCTGATAAAGTGGAAACGATGCACAATTATGTTTGATAAGGAGATGCTATCAGAACAGGAGAGCAAGGACATGTTTAGAGTGCATTTGCTATCAGCAGTTAATTGATGGCATTAATGTTATTTAAAGCCTCTAATTATGATGTCACATGATCTGATAGATCCATTTCTAACAACATCCCCAAAATCTACACTAAAAGAACCTTAAGGTTGCAAAGTCACGCACTCAGAAGTTAGGAAATGCCCCAATTAAGGTTGCCTGCTGAGGCCTTCCGCAGCTGGGGCGAGATTTATAAATATCCAGCAGTCAACTGCTCTTTTAGAAAAAAGGGATCTATGGTGTCTTTAAAAAGGGACTGACCAGCACTCAGCTGCAGATGGGAACGTGAGCTTTGTGATGCGCTGGTGGGGGAAGGAGACCTTTAGACTACCTAGTTCCTCCTCTGATTGCACAAGCCCTGCCTCTATAACATGGAAACACCTGTTTTTTCATGGCTTCCTGGGACATGAGGGGGCCGCAGCCAGCATGAGTGGTGTGTCCAGGTGCAGGGGCTAGGGCAGCTCAGCTGCAAGCACAGATGGTACTTCCTGTGCCAGGGACTCTAACCTGGAGTCATGCAGGCAGCCCAGCTACAAAGCAGTCTAGTTCTGAGCCCTGTAGCAAGCAGTGGGCCAAATGTATGCTGGGTGTTGCAGTGGATTTATACCAGTTTGCAGGCCTCCAAGTGACCCTTAGGCATCTGCCACCATCACTATTGCAAAGATGACCATCCATTACAGAAAACTCCCACAAAGTGAGATCATTGAACCTGAAAGAACAACAATTGCTATGGCCCTATCCTATTTCCCTGGAGGA